CTCTGTGAACAGCCAGCCTCTTTAGCGATGACCTTTTGTGTCTTGCCCTCCTTGTGCAAGGTGTCGATGGTCGTCTTTTGGACAACTGTCAAGTCAGCAGTCTTCCCCATGATTGTGTAGCCTATAGAACTAGACTGAAAGACCATTTAAAGGCTTTTGCAGGTGGTTTGAGTTAATTAGCTGATTAGAGTGTGGCACCAGGGGCCATCAATTTTGAACCTTTTCACAATATTCTAATTTTCTGATATGATGAATTTGAGATTTTCATTTGTTGTCATTTGTAATCATCAAAATTAAACAAAATAAACATCTGAAATATATGAGTTTGTATGTAATGTATGAATATAATATACAAGTTTCACTTTTTAAATGGAATTACTGAAATCAATCTACTTTTTCATGATATTCTAATTTTATGACCAGCACCTGTATATCCCTGTCTGAGGCTGATGAAGGTACATTGTGAGGTATTTTCCCTTTTTTTTTTTTTTTTTTTTTTAAGGCGCGTTATGAACGAAGTTAAACTTTCCAGCGCTTTTATTTTGACAAGCGGAAGTCTCGCGGTAACACCAACCAACGTGTTGTCATCAGTCGTTTATCTAGCGTGACTCATTTGTTTATTTACATTAATTTCACGCGTTGTCCTCTAACGTTTGAGCATGGACTTGATGTTTTAACTGAGCTATTGCCGCCTTGCCGTGATTAATGATTTGAAGTTGCCTCTTTTATCCGAGGGAACCATCTATGAAGAGGTGGGTCAACATGTCCATTGTCTAGTGAGCTAGCAAGATTTAGCAAGTGTTGCCAGAGCTGAGAGAAGGTCTTGATAAAATTTTACTAATTTCACACCAACCCTGGTCATTTATCTTCCGGATTTATTTGTTTTATAGATGTACATATATATATCAACAAAGTATTGAGATAAATGAGGCAGTAGAACAGCCTTGTCACAGATCGCTGGTCCTCCAGAGGTGGGGGTGGTCGTTGACCAGCTCGATGACCGCCGCTGTCTCGCTCATAGCAACTTATTTCCTGGTCAGTTTCTGTCCGCTCTGCTCACCGAGTCCACTGTGAGAGCTGTGTTTATTCTTTTATCTTTTTAGAGACTTCTATACTACGAGTTTTGCAAGTTAAGTTACTGAAAACAGTCAATATGAGACTGAAGATGCACAGAATTAGCTCCTTAAGCTAATGCTAACGTTAGCTGCTGTCTTCACATTGTATTATCAGACTCATAGAAAATATGTTGACACATTATCAGACTCATTGCTACAGAAATCCTGTCCGTCTTATTTGAAGACACCTTTTTTACATCCAGGGCTCCTTTCCGCCCCCTGACTGGTTGTCCTTGGTGAAGAAGGTGGATGTCCTCTAGGGAAGAGACCCTACAGTCCCTCACTAAACTATACAGATTGTTTACACATTTGTTTCACTTAAAGTACAAACCTCTACATCAGGCATCCCCAAACTCGGTCCTCAAGGCCCCATGTCCTGCAGGTTTTGGAGGTTTCATTGCTCCAGCACAGCTGATTTTAATTGAAAGCTGATTAACAGGCTTTTGGTCTACTGCAATCATTATAAACAGCTGTGCTGAAGCAGAGAAACCTCTAAAACCTGCAGGACAGGGGGCCTTGAGGACCGAGTTTGGGGATGCATTTGTCAGTCCTTTCAGACACCCTTCATTGTAGTAACAGATGGAAGAGGAAGACGTTTAAGCTATTTCTTTACTGGCTTTAGCTGATGCTCATCTATATCAGATAAAGAGCATAATTTCTTACTCTCAGCATGGAATTAGGAATGTAAGTTATTGAATAATGAATGAATCTAAAGTTGATTGATCTTATCGATCAAGATAAGAGATAGGACAGGACTTTATTGATCTCACAATGGATGAATTCACTTCATTTAGGGATGTGTGTGTGTATATATATATATGTTCTTAGAACTGTTCTCCGGATATATAAATAAAAATCTTTATAAAATAATAATATTTTGCAGATGGATTAATGTGTTGATTATTTCTATATTTTTATTAAGACTTTTTAAGAAATCTAAAATGAAACCAAGTGAATATAAAACTATTCCTCTTAGGAGTTCTGGATAGAGCATATTGAAAGAGAAAAATTATTTATCTTAAGTGCAAAATGTTTACGTATTATTTTTTTTTTTTTACAATTTTGTTATAATTACTGCTCTAAATCAGTTCTTCTGTCAGCTGAAAGCAAGTTTTAGAGTCATTTTACTCCATTTTATGATTAATTCATTTTTAAATTAGTTGACGGTTATTTGAAGTATTGATTATATATCTTATATATTATATACATTGACATTTATCTCATGTACATAGAGGTATGTGCTGTCAGAGTGCAAATACTCAGGTTTTAAGAAAGTGTAAACAGTAAATATGTGAATGTAACTTCTAATTGTACAGGGTTATTGCACAGCAGTTATTGTATAATGTTATTTCACAGTGGTATTGTAAAGTTTGATGGCAGCAGGGATGAATGATCTACAGTAGCGCTCCTTTTTGCACAGGGGGTGTATAAGTCTGTCACTAAAGGAACTGCTGAGCTTCTCTGCAGTCTGGTGCAGAAGGTGAAAGGTGCTGTCTATGATCAATGTAAGCTAACTAACTATTGATTAATAAGCTGCTGCTTTTCTCTTGTATCAACTGGATCTTTCTATAACACTAAGAGTAAAATATTGTTTTTCACAATATGCAGAAACGTTGGCAGCTATATTTTATTCTGTCTGAATACACTTTCTTTTTCTAAATTCTTGCGCATTATTAAACTGAGACATATTTATGCGATATAAGTAATCAGTAACCTTATAGGTTACTGAAAAAAAAGAAAATATTAATAAATATTTGAGGCTCCTATATACAGAGATGTAAACCTGTTAAAAGACAGGGTATGTCACTCTGACATGCTCCCACAGAGAATATTTCCCATTTTGCTTTAATGAAGTGAACATTAGCTGCTTTTCTCTCTCTTAAATCCAACAATCGGTGGTGGACGAGACTTTGTGCTGTTTGTGTTGAGATTTTGTGCTTCATGAAATGCATTAATCAATCAATCAATCTCTTTATTTAGACGCAATTATGGTCCATATATAGACAAAAACAAGAACAATAATAAAAGAAGAGAGAAATAAAAAATATATAATAAAATAATCAGTCACTGACATATAAACTAAGCACCAATGATTCCACAAGCATTAACTCACAAAAGCCTTCCCCATCTACTGTACTTATAGCTAGCATGTCTTTTTTTTTATCATCTTACAAATGTTTTCCATAATGCCCTCAACTTTTCAATATCACATCCTCACCTTCCGAGCAAAGCAGACAATTTGACGCTGATGCACCATGCAACAAAGCTAAAGAGGTTCTAATCAGATAATTATGTGATAGAAATGTGGAAACCATTTTATCTATTTATTTTACACCTGTGTCTATATTTGGACAGTTTAGATTTTTTCCCCTTTGAGTACTAGCATAATTATGAGTGCTACTTAGCAGACTTAATTGGCTCACAGTTATTGTAAGCTAGTGAATAAAACAATTTCATAGATCTTTCTTTCTTTTTCACTCTTCAACTGTACCAAGGAAAATCACAAGGGCTCCTTTTCAGTTTTCAACCATTTAGAATATTGACAATTTAGGGGAGTGGCGTCCTGGTGGTTAGGGCATTGAGCTTGGAATCATGAGGTTCTGAGTTCAAATCCCAATCCCAAAGCCTGCACTCTGGGTCTCTGAGCAAGACCCTTAACCCCACGCTGCTCCATGGGCGCCGCACTATTGCAGCCCACTGCTCCCTAAGGGGATGGGTTAAATGCAGAGATACATTTCTCCAGTGTGAGATCAATAAAGTTCAATAATTGTTATTATTTGCAGTATACCCAGGCTGTTTTAGTAAAAATAGTTTTGATTAATGGACTATGGGAAAATATTAATCTAATGAAATGAGACATTTGCAAATACTGTTATGGTGATCTTGTCTTTTGTTAGACTATATATTTAAGAAATGGGTTCAGAGAACTTGGACCAATTTGGACCAGCAGCGGTCTTTGTTGATGAAGATGAACAAGAAGTAGGGGGCCTAATCAACTCTGACGGGGAGGAAGTGGAGTTCTCTGAAATCCGTAAGTAAATATGTTTTTAAGATCAGCTGGGTGAGAGAATGTTTAATATTTACATTCATAAAAAAACAAAAAAAAAACCAACAAATTAGAACACCCTTGTTCGATTTTGTTGTTTTTGTCGTATTCATTGTATTCTTCGGGTATTATACCTTTAGAAGAAGAAACGGAAGAAAACAAGGGTGGTGTGATAAGTTTTTCCCAGATAATGTTTTCTTTTTTTAATGTGGGAATTTAAATTTATTGAATTATTTTAATAAAATACCATAACTTGTAGTATTGAGCATGTTGATTTACAGCTCATTAGTTGAAACTGAGGTATAAGACTTTGTTCTAAGGCTTTGCAATCGATGGATTTTTTTTTTTTTTTTTTGGATTAATCAAATTTTCTTTAAAAAATTGTCATTTTCCTCCCCACCAGTGCAGTCATTGTGCTTCCATTTTTCCAGAGTGACACCAGCCTCATTTTTTTTGTTCTTAGAACTGTTCTCATTAACTGATAGTTTAACCCTTTGTGTAATTTCAAAGCCTAAAATGTTTTGTACGTCATATGAACATATTATTTACAGTGGCAGAGCCTACTAACTGGATTTATAAGCATTTTTCACAGCTTGTATTTGATTGAACTTGAAGTTAAATCAAGTCATATAAGGGGTGTTTACATGAAAAACAAAAAGTTTTAAAGGTAAACCTTTCTCATTTGTAAATTGTTTTCATTAAAAGGGCTTGAAAATAATGAATTGATTAGATTTGATATTAAAACATCTTAAATAGTAGTTAAAAGCCACATTGCTGTCCCTGAATCACTTAAATATTGTCTGTCCCTCTTTGTGTTGTCACTTAATGTCTTCCTACAGGAGTAAATGCCATCTCAGGCATTGTCCCTGCCAAGGCTCCCTCTAAGAAGCTGATTCAGAGTGAGAGGGAAAAGCTGCCATCCCTCCACCGCTGCTCAGTATGTGGAAAAGACTTCCCTTATGCCTCTAAGCTTCAGCGGCATCTGCGTACTCACTCAGGAGAAAGGCCTTTCCCCTGCCCCATGTGTGCCAAGAGATTTCCAGAAAAGGGGCTCCTTATGATTCACCAAAGGATCCACACAGGTGAGAAGCCGTTCCCATGTACATTCTGCGAGAAGCGCTTCGCCAGTCAGGGGGAGCTGCGGCTTCACCGCCGCACACACACGGGTGAGAGGCCCTATCACTGCTCCATCTGTTTGAAGAGTTTCTCTCGACACTGGCACCTGAAAACACACCTGGAGGCAATGCACTGCGAGGTTGTCGCAGGCTTTACCAGGAAGAAGTTTCCATGTTCGGCCTGTGAAAAAAGCTGCAACTCGGCAGCTGAGCTGAGGGACCATCAGCGGACTCACACCGGAGAAAGGCCCTTCCAGTGCTCGTTCTGTGACAAACGATTCGCCTTGTCGGGAACGCTTGTGAGACACGAGCGTCTTCATACTGGTATTACCCCCTACCACTGCTCCGACTGTGGCAAGACCTTCGCCCAGCAGTGGACGCTTACGACGCACATGAGGACCCACAGGGGAGAAAAACCATACAGCTGCACTCAGTGTGATAAATCGTTTGTTGCTCCCGGGGAGCTTCGGCGGCACACGAGGATCCACACTGGGGAAAAGCCGTACACCTGCAGCGACTGTGGTCGGCATTTCTCCTTGGCAGGAACTCTGAGAAATCACAAACGGTCGTGTTTGCAGAGCAAGAGCGACTCTATTACCAACGTCACGTCGGGTGTGACTCAAGCTGCCACAGACGAGTCATCTCAGGAGGGAAAGACCAGCTGCATTAGCTCTGAGGTACTAACAAAACACAGCAGTCCTCTTTTAAAACTGTGATTTTGTGTGTTTTGTTTACTATGAAACTATATTTCAAGGTACATCAAAGTTCAACCCATCCGGAAGCAGCTGAGCCGCTCTCCTCACAGCCTCCTAACTGCACCACATCTCCTCAGCCAGAAGTTATTCTAAAGGAAGCAGAAGACCCTTCAGAGAACCGCATTCCCTCTCCACACATGAATGTAATAGTAAAGGAGGAGGAAGAAGAGGAACCCTTATACGGTACTTTGAACTGTTACTTCTCATCTTCTATTTTATTAGAACTACATATTCCCGGTGACGGTATGTAATGTTTATGTATCTTATGTTCTTATCCTGGTAGAGGAAACAACAGACCAGACATTGGATGGAGAGAGCTGCGAGATTCCAGAGGAAAATAAAGAGGAGCATCAGCAAAGCAACACAGAGATTAGGATTACAGTGAAGGATGAAGAGGAGGGGCCATTAAATGGTAAATAAACTGTCACCTTAAATTGTCCCTCCAGCAGTAACATTAGAAATGCACAGATCAGGTTAACCCTCAAGTCATCTCTGAGGCTGTCCTGCCAGCTCCAGTTTCTCTCTAACAGAAACTAGTACTGTATAAAATAATCTGTGTAAAATTTGTTTCAAAAGTAAAATGTAAAAATATTCCAACAAGAAGTGAAAGATTGACCCTCTTAAGCTGTCAGTAAATAAAGCAGCATTACTCCCATTCAATCTCAGTAGAAACAGATGCTTGGTAAAAATTGATTGTGAAGAGTGTCAATCTCCAGATAGCATATTTTATATATTTCAGTATTGATACAGGACGTTTTAAAGTTTTTTTATTTTGTGCTACCAGTGAACCACAGTTGAACAACTCTCTCCTTCCAAAATGTCTACAGAAAATCCTGAAGCCGACAAACCCGGTGCAAAACGTGGGCTTCAAACACCGCCTGCTGAAAAACGAAGTAGAAACAATTCAACGAAGGGTTCCTACTGCTGTGGGCTCTGCGGAAGAGACTGCCACAAGATGTCCGCGCTTCAGATCCACATGCGAATCCACTCGGGAGAAAAACCTTACCAGTGCTCGCTGTGTGGAAAAGGGTTTACTCAGAAAGGTCAACTGAAAGGTCACTTTAAAGTCCACACAGGTGAAAAGCCATATACCTGCCCAGATTGCGGCAAGAGCTTTGCCCACTCGGGAGCCATGAACAGACACAGGCTCATCCACACGGGCGAGAAGCCTTACCACTGCTCCTTGTGCTCTCTGAGCTTCAATCAGTCCGGCCGATTGAGAGAACATGAAAAAATCCATCTGGGGGAGAAGTATGACTGTCCTGAGTGTGACAAGAGCTTCACACGTCCTTCAAGTCTGAAAAACCACATCCGACTGCATACCGGGGAGAGGCCATACGGCTGCGATGTCTGCGGGAGAGGCTTCAGCCGCTCACAGAGCCTCAGGCTCCACAGGAGGAAACACTTTGAGAGCGCAAAAGACTCTCCAACCACTCCAAAGAATGACGACCTCTATGAAAGCGATAATAACTCTCCAATTAACATGTGCATAACAGAGAAAAATGACTGATCTATTTATTTAAGCAAATGTATACTAGTACTATTACAAGTCTGTAAAATGAGAAAGTGGAAAGTAAGGGTTTACCTCTGTGAATTTGTTGTTACCCGTCCGTGATATTTCTATATCAAGTGTTAGAAACACAAATATTTATCTCTCTGAAGTAAAAATAAAACCTTTTTATTAGAAACACACCTGAGGCATCTACTACAAAGCAGGATTAGTGGCTTATCATGGTAACTTAAGGCTTAGTTGTTTTTTTGTTGTTGTTTTTTTTAATAATAACAAACCTCAGCTTTTACTTTGGTTCATCAATGTGGGACATTTTATCCTGAAGACGGTAAAAAATTCCAGATTAAAGGTCCACATATCTGGACGCATCAGCTCTGATCTGCTCTCATCCTTTAGAAAAATGTAATAAAAAAGGAAAAGTTTAGCAGTACTGTTCTCCAAAATTACGTTTCACTGGGACAGCCCTTCACAATCTCACCTGTGGCTTGATTCCTTAAAGTTTTAGTTTTTTTTAAAAAGAGGCTGAGGATTAAAATCGAACCTTTTTAATGGCTCAGCGTTCAAATAATTTTAAAGTTAAAATAAAGAAATGCATAATTTTAAGAAAAATCTTAGAAGTTTACCCCGCTGTGGTAAAAGTTATTCACAAATAAGTAAATAGTTTCAGCAGCCAGGTGCACCTCAAGAAACATATTTATATAGAGAATCGATTAATAATTGAAAAGAATAAGTCTAATAAACATTAATTACAAACTCAAAAGTTAAAAGAATTGGAAACAGCAGAAAAAATATATTGTGGTTGCAGCATGTGGTGCTCCTCACATTCCAAGATGCTCTGAATAAAGATGCATCACTCTGCATCTCACCATGACCAGATGCACTTTATCCTTTATGGTTTTTTTTTTCCATGGATTATAGTGATTTAATGTCTTCCTTTTGCCATTGTTTTTTATAAATCCAACACTCAAAATGTACTGCTGTGTTTTATAAATGGAGCAGCTAGGAATCCAACAAAAGGTAAAGAAAAACATAATTCACCATTAAGCATTAGACCACATAAGTGATCAAACAACATGCTCTAGGTTAACTCCTTTATATATTGAGCATGGTGAGCGTTTTAAGGTTAGAAGCATTTACTGATAAATAAAAAAAATGGTAATCCAAACTTTCAATTTATAAATTTGTTTCATTTATAAATTGAATAATATATATTTTTTTTATTTTTAAAAAGCTTTTCCTGACAAAAAGGGACCAAACTTCATCATAAATGGCAAATTTGAAAATGAAAATGTATTAGCAAAAATTATTCTCATTTTAAAGACAATGGTGCATTTTATTAACTTCTAAATAAATTACAAATAGATCATCAAACTGTTTTATTTTCTTCTGCAAGACTGTTCATTGTGTTTTAGATCTGAAGAGAAAAGAAGAAATTGTTTTTTTGTCATGTCTGCTCTGCAAAACGTGTCACATAAATCATTTCGAGGAGTTTGGATTACCTGTTATTAATTTTTATGTTTGAGTCAAAGCATGCATCTTTGACTTTGAAATGAAAAAGTATTTCTGTTAATTAAGGAATTTGATATTTAAAGATAAATTTTGGAAACTTTTTTTTACTGCTATTATAAACTTCCTTTTCTTGAACATCTTTACAAAACGAGCAGCCTTGAATAAGAAAAAAAACTAAATTTTCTGTAATTATAATTTCAAATTTGAAATATTGAACATTTTAGCTGCGACAACTTTTGAAAATAACATGTAAAACTTCAGCTTATTATTCTTATTAATTTACAAAATGAGCAGTTCTGGAGAAGAAATTGAAAATGTGGTTTAAAGTCCTCAATTGCAGCTTTATTTTAAATGATAGAAAATTTCTAGTAATCAATTGATTTAATAAGAAAATTGGGACATGCTTGTCTACATATCCAAAAAGTCACTGACATTTCAAACCTGCTTTGTAGTACCGGCCTCAAGTACAGTTGTGTTCAAACTTACTTGTAAAATCCACCTAATAGCTTATAATTACACACAGAAATTAATTAGGAACCCTGTATATTCTACTCACAATAATCTGGTTTAGTGTAATCACATTTATTGTTCTATTATCAGTGTGTCTAAGAAGAACATTTTCACATCTCTGTGGCATTTGGAGTCAACTGGCATCAGCCTTTTTAACTGGATTGGATTTCATTCCACAGTTCCTCTGCTGTTCTTGTTTTTGTCCCACAAGCAGCATGTTTAAAGTCACCTCACAAGTTTTAATTTGGGTCAAGGGACAGAAACTGGGCTGGCTTTTCCATAATGTATACATTGTTTGCCTAGAACCCAGGTAAATCCGGCTTAATGGTATGTTGGAGATTGTAATGTCATTAAAATTGCCATTTTAAGACTTTTTAAAATATATATTTTTTTGTAAACAGATCCATTGAAGGTCATCTGAATTGTCATTCTTGCTTTCATCAGTCAACCAAAAGTTAATGATTCAGTTACACAGTCTTAGCAGCATGGGCCGTAGGTTCTTCTGGTCCTCTATTACCATAAACGACATGTAGAAGTGAATAATTTTCAAATTAGAAATATCAGTTCTACCAAAATCTGTTTTTCATCTGGTTAGTGATGGTGGATTAGAATGATATTTTCAACACAACTGTAATTTCCTGCAACTGACATGTTTAGAAATGACCAGATCAAACACTTACTGCAAAGATGAGTTTTATGTACTGACTACAAGTTCATTTATTCAGATTCTTCTGCTACTTGTGTATTTTAATAGCTTTTCGAGCGGATCGCACAAACTGATGTCAGTGGTTTCTTTTTGTTCAGGCAGTACTTCTCTTATAATGAACTTTGAATGTGACCATGGAACAGATAAGTACACTTGAGTCTTATGGCGACCATTAGCCCATTTTTTCATAGTAATAACATTCGAGTGATGTTATTAAACTGTTGTTTTCTGTTTTTTAATACTTTTTAAATTTAATTTACCTTATGTTTCTAAGTAATATGTCATTGTCAAGACATGTAAGAAGCAACGCCTTCCACAAGGCATGAATCGGTTACGGTTCAATAATACAGGTTAACAAATACTAGATTGTCAGATGCTTGAAAATAATATTGAAACATTTTCTAATCATTGCCCTATCTTATATGTAATAAGCAGCATAAAGTAAAAAGAAAAAAGTTCAGAACCAACAGTCATAAAATGAATAATGGAACCAAAAGGATGCATCGTCCAAAGAGGAAATTATACCATGCTGTGTTGGTGGTGCCTGTCTAGCTGTATAACATGTGTTCTGCCTACAATAAAAGCATCTAACATTGCATTGTGCTTTATTTGATAAGTAAAGTATTATTTCTGAAGTGGTTGAAAGCGTTAAAAATATCTCCATGCACCCTTGAGTATTTTGCATATATGTAGGCTAATTAGATTTTCTAGGCAGGTGTATTTTGCTGGGTGTCAACTGTTTGTTTATTATTTCACACTCTGACTTATGTTTTAAGTTAAATACGCAGACTTCCAAGCATGGGCGTAGGTTTGCATAGGGACCATAGGGACATGTCCCTACCAAAATTTTGAACCGACCTAATTGTCCCTACCAATAATTGGATGTGAGCAACATGTTTATAATTTACAGCAGTAGTTGTTGCAGCAGTGGCCTCTTTTCCTCTCGCAGCTCCTCTGCCTGGTCTCTCCTGTCCCTTTTACGTAGCAGCGCATGGAACTGTGCTGCGCTGTTTAACTCTACTCTCATTGGTTGTTCTGCCCTAAGTTCCGCATTCTCTCTCTCCGATTGGCTGTTTACTAGTCCGCGTGTGCTTGGAGCACAACATTGAACATTTATTCACACTAGAATGCAGCGGTTACAACAATTAATATTAGGCTACAAAACTAGTCCCACTAAAAAAAATGAATATCATGTACACTAAAAAACAAAAACTTTTTTTTTCTTTTATAAAACGAAATATTCTGAGTCAGCCAGGAGTTCTGAAGACTGCTGGAAAAATGGGCAAATAAAGGCTGTAAGCCATCAACATTTCTGATTCTTAGCCACAGCCAACTAAAAAAGAAAATGTGAGGGTTTCCTTTTTACTGATATTTAGTTGATATTACTGTTTTCATTTTTTTGTTTTTATTTTTACAATTTTGCTTCATTACCAGTAAAGAGCGAGTATCCTTCTATCAAATGTGTTGTGGAGTGGGAGCTGAGAGATAAAGACAACAAAGACCTGTTCTACATCCGATTCCCAGTTCAGATTGTGAGCTAAACCACCATAATAAAAGAACCTCAGATGAGCTGCTTTTAAGAAGGGATTCAGCTTTGAGTAAAAAAAAAATAATAATAAAAAATCTAATATCCCTGGTTCTTGAGACTTTTATCTAAGTGGGTTGCTCTGTGGGGAAAGGCACATTTTACATTTATATTACTGTATGTTTTAAAGTCTCTATACTCCAGTTAATGATGAATCACATACTAAATTAGTTGACGATTATTGAAATAATCAATTAATATGATTCATTTTTTTCAGCCCCAGATGAAATACATGAAATGGGCTACACAGAGTAACTACAGCCCAGATGTTCAACTTTTATAGTGAATTTAATATTTTAATGAATGTATTATTTTGCTTGATACAGAGAGAGCATAGTAGGTACAAATATAAGAGTGGGGTTTAACTCTGCACAATTGTATATCTTCAAAAGAAAATACTGTATTTACCTTCTCTCTTAGTCGTTCAAATGAAACCGTTTTCAAAGTGGAAAACAGTCCTAATTCATCAGAGCCGGTGATACTTCAAACATTGATAAACAGCATCTAATGAGTGTAGAGCTTATAACATTTTTATTAATGGAGCAAAATATTGCTTTTCTCTTTTAACAATGAATTCCTCTTATCAGTACGGATGCTCACATCCAGCATAAAAAAGGGCATGCATATTGCATAGTACCAATGACACCAGGCCAATAGTGTCCCTACCAAAGTTCAAATCAAACCTACGCCCTTGCTTCCAAGTTGAGGTAGCTGGACACATTTTTGACGCTCAAAATGGGTCTGAAAGGAGCATTATTATTTGTATTCCTACAAAAGGTAAATCTGTGATTTCAAATACATTTGTTTAAATCTTGTTTTTATTTTTTGCTTTGAACTGTATGTTTTTGCGTTTTTTTATTTTATTGGAATTTATTTTAATGTACATTATGAAAACGAAGACAATATTTAGTAAATATTTATTTTGGGGTCATTATAAGGGATCTCACCGTGTACGAGTTGTATTTGAATGCATCACGGAGCATGCCTAAGTTATATATCTCGACCAAAACTGCATTAAATATTTTGTATTAGTAACAATTTCTTAAAATAAATTAGTTATTCGTTGGTATACAAGTCGGACATTTTTTTTAGCCTACCATGCGAGTTGTGTTTTAGATGAAGCTGTCGTAAACCGGAAGTTATAAATATTCCCAGGGATCCTGAATGCAACCTACAGATAAACAGACAACATAAGCAGACGACGAGGTTATAATAGGGAGAAACACTTAATGCTGGCATTTGTGTAAGAGAAAGACTGCTCGTCTGCTGTATTTATTCATGTAAAAGCTCAGAGAAGACTCGGGTAAGATAAAATAATCATATATAATGATAATATAGCGCTTTTGACTTTAGCTCAAGCTTATTCTGCTGCTAAAGTTAGCCAACAGTGAAACGTAGTTGCTGCTAGCAGACCTTTGTCTTCAGTTTCTGCATCGATACTGGTACAGGCTTTGCTAATCTGTACTACTGGACTTTAATTAGCAGCGAAATTTCCATTTTTGTTCAAACTTGTTCAAACCAAGCATGTGTTCAGCAGAATTTAAACGAGTTATGCCGAAAGAACCCCAACTGTGGATCAAAATGTGTGATTTCTTAAAATTAGCTGTTTGAAAGAGTTAGATTTTGACGACGCTTGATTTTTGATATATTAGAAGAAACAAGTGATCATCCTAAACTGTTTTGTCCAACCCTGACAGGCTCACTTTACCATAATGGTGTCTTACAAGAGGCTGAATCCAGAAAATGTTCAGTTTTCTGGGGCACTTTTATCGGAAGAGCATCATCGTTCAGTTGAAGAAGATGTGGCCGTGAGTTCCCTCTTGTTTGATCATTGATCTCCTTCAGTTGAATTGAAACAAAAAAATAATGGGTCTTTCTGTTTGTTAGATTATTATCTTTAGATAATCTTACATAAAACAACTTGATTTTACACCAACCATTAAATTTTTTGTTTAATGCTTACAGTGAGAAAAATATGAGCAAATAAACCTTAGTGTTTTAAAAAATAATAGACCATCGATGTTAAACTTTGTCAAAATGGACACTATCTACTTAAAAATATATGTTTGGTGATGAAAACATTTCCAGCTGTTAAAGAGCCAATCCAGTTTGTAACAGATCACAAAAAATATTCTAAGAAGAGTAAGATAATTAAAACAATATATCAAAATCAGAAATCAAACATTAGAATGATCTATATCATTAAAGATGGGCTCTGTGTATGCACCCTGATGCTCTATCTTTCCGGTTCTTTTCCCTGAAAAGAGATAACTCGGGATAAACTGTATACATAACACTTCATAACTTATATGTATTAAATAACCAGCAGACATGACAATAGATTCTGATAGAAATGATAATCTTACTCAGATCAGAGAGATTGCTTAGAATGTACAGAAGGCAGCTGCTAACCTCCGGGCTCACCTCTCAGGAAGTGGCCCCGATTAATAATTAAAAATGCATTTTATATATCTCCAGTCTGCCACATCATCTTATTTTACATCATACATGTTAGTAGATGATGAGACATCCATGGCTCCAGCCTGATCAAAATATTACCATTCTTAGCTGAAGGGCTCTCATTCCATTTCCAAATATTTGCCACGTACAAAATGAAGATTATAACTGTATATCCGGACAGAGGAACTGTCCTAATTGGATTAAAACGTCAGTTCTGACACGCAACAGGCAGCCAATACCAGGGTGTAATAAACTCACACGTCTTCAATGATAATTATCCTAACACAGCTCTGTCACATATTCCATCCTTTATTTTCCAAATTTTTCCCACCTGAGCTGTTGACTTCAGTAGGTCTTCCAGCATTTCAAAAAGACTTAGATTTAGACAAACTTTATTGTCATTTTGTATACGCAGAGTGTACAAAAAAAACGCAAATGTTGATGCATACAGCTTACAAAAGTGAAATGAAAATGACCATTTATAAAAAGCAGCAGTGATCAGAATGCACAAAGAGTAGGAGAAAAGGAAAACCAGTTTAAAGTCAATGATGCTAAATGCATTGATATGGAAAGGTTCAGTGAAGTGCAAAATAAATAGATATGGTGCGAAATGCAGTAAAATGTTGAGTTTTGGTCTATTTAAAGTGATTATGATAATATCAGCAACATTTGTAGTGTGAATATTATGTTTTTAAGTGTGATGCCGAGACTTGATTAGAGAGGCTCTTAATATTTGCTTAAAATGATTTTATTAAAACAATTACTGTAGTATAGTAACAAATACTAGTCTTAGAAGTTTTTGCAGGTTATTTAAAGAGGATGGGATTGAATTTTCACGACAAGATGACATTAAAGTAACTAGAAATATGTTTTAAGGCTTTTTTTTGTTGTCATTAGCTTGGATACTATGTGTTTTTGTGCATCAACTAATATCCAATAGAAGAAAATTCATTCTTTACATAACATGTTACATTTATGTTACATTTTTCCCTATTTTAAGAGCTAAAAATTACAAATAAACTGTTGGTTGTTAAAAGTGGCAACACATTTCTTTTCGCAGCTATTTAACAAAAGTAATAACATGTGTTTTATTAAAAGATAATATAATATTTGCGTCTCTAAACAACTTTAACTCAGCCGGACTCAGAGCAAAATGGCTCTTTGGGTTTTAAATGTTGCAAACCACGGGTTTAGCCGTAGAACAATGTCTTGGTATGTTTGCGACTTTATCAGGTTCTTTCCATTTTCCGATAACTGTGAGATGTTCAAACCGGGGACTATTGATTCAACATAAACCCCCCTTAAACCTCCCAGTAGTTTTATGTCTGATCTTCCTGCTGTGATCCTCAGTCTTGATCAGAGGTGTTGAACCCTAATCCTCCAGCGCAACCATCCTGCTGCTTCTCTGCTTTAACAATCTTAAACTAGTTCAATATGTCAGTTGAAAAGCTAGATTGTATGCTTGCTTTATTATCTTAAAAATGCAGACAGTAATGACTGTATTTAGACTTAATATAACAGAAAACTCTTCTTATTGGGAGCTTAGTTTAGGGACAGGTGGATTCTCTTTACTAATTGAGCAACCTAGGTTGAATTTAAATGAAGTGGTTTTATTTTGGGGTATCACAGTAAAATGCCTAACTACAAATGATCCCCTCACATTTAAGCCTTGTAGCTCTAAAGTGCAAAAGACAAAAAGAAAGCATTATAGATATTTTTGCAAGCCGTTTTTCTTTTTTTTTAAGGTGCCGCAGCCAGACAACACCTCACTGCTCCCCCGCAGGCTGTCATGCTCGATCACCAAAGCTGTCCTAATACTCGGCTCCCTTCTGCTGCTCCTCTTCGGAGGCTGGCTGCTCCACACCATATACTGGCTGCGCAGTACATCCGGCCCGGCACACAGACCACCACCCCCAGTTCCAGGACAAGCTCCAGGCTCTGTATTACAAGCAGATATAAACAACACTGTGACCACTGCACGCACCAAAGCTTGCAGTGTAATCCCAGAGGCGTGGAGGTTCGATTGCTACCCTGAGAGAGGGGTGGTTGTAAACCGAGAGCTGTGCGAGGCAAGAAACTGCTGCTTCATCCCTGCTTCTACTTCCGCTAGAAGGAAATCCAGGAAAAATGGTATCCCATGGTGTTTCTATCCCCCTGATTTCCCCTCATACTCTGTGGTGTCAGTGAATGACACGTCGATGGGACTCAAAGGGACACTTGTGAAAGATGTAAAGACTTACTACCCTGGAGACATCCTGACTCTAGAGATGGAGATAAGACATGAAACAGACACACGCCTGCGTGTCAGAGTAAGTCGAGAAGTTTTAGTCATCTTAACCAACTTCGTTTTGATTTATTAAGGTTGTGCAGGATGATTCCCTGCCAACGAAGAATTTGTTATAAGATCAGGGGAATTTGTTCTGGAAAATATGTGGGGATGTATTAGGAATTTTATTTACATTTAAAGTAGATCAAGAATGTGCGAGGAGGGGATGAGTAAGGCCGTTGTTGCCTGTTTTCTTCTTACACAGCTCTATCTGTTTGTTAGCTTCTGTAATCAGTGTAAACTTTGTTCTGATATTCATTTAGCAGCACTAACCTTAGATCTGTTTTAGCAACAGACTGATATTAAGTCAGCATTTACCAAAAAGGTGTTGCAACAGACAGCTCAAAGTCTGAGCCTGCACACTACTGTGACGCTGCTGCATATCTGCCTTGTGTAGGAAGATAACCAGCCTTGCGAAAATATCACTCATCCTTCGCTTCTCTACAGATCTGACACTGTAGCATGTGATATTTATCTCCAGTTAATGGGCGTGTCCATGGATTTATTTGAAGATGTAAGACAAATACTTAATGACATCTGCATCCAAAGCTAGAGAAGCACAAAGTTAGTTTACTGCTTTTAACTGTAATGGTTTCCTTTCCCGTGGTAGAAAGGTTACAGACCCTAATCTTTAAGAAAGCAAAAACTTGTGTGATCAAAACTTAACTGCTTATAGAATAGAACAGATTGGTCATCATTGCTGAGTAAATTTAGCTGTACGAGCACCAAAGATAAATAAAGTGTGAAGATTCAAACAGCAAAGAAATATAAAGTTTTACAACATAGGATATTAATATGGTAGTTTTTTAGAAATGGCATCTTCAGATTGAAATAAACGTAAAACTAAGTCGAATCATTTAAGAAAATACAAAGTGCTGTTGTACGGTCATGCAAAGAATTGTTATAAATATAAACTGAGCCATTGGCTAATTTGGGTAATCAGTTGAAGATGGTTCCAAAACTACCTGGAGAAAACAGGGAATACTCTGTTTCTTTATGTTTCTGCCTGAATTGAAGCAGAATCCAGATGTTTACTCCATCTTCGGTGGAGCTACAGCAGACCTACAGCATGCAGAACAACGGACCTGGAATGAGAAACGGTGAACTAGGACGTGGAATCCAGAGCAGACATGTCTTTTAAAAAGGACAGCAGACATAAAATAGCGTTTTATATTAACTAACAAGATGAGAATCAGTTTGAGATCAGCATTTAACCTGCTTGTGCTTATTTGTTTTGGGCCTGTTTTTCTGCAGTTTCTTGTGGTAAATTCTCCTGCATATATTTTTCCACAAACTTCTCTAAATTACAGATAACAGATCCCTCGAGTTCCCGCTTTGAGGTTCCGATCTCTGTGCCCACGGCCGTAAAGAAAGCAGAAAACCCCCAGTACGTCGTAGAGCTTTCAAAGCAGCCTTTTGGTCTCATAGTGAAGAGGAGATCTACAGGAACTGTGCTGTGAGTCTGATGGTTTCTTTCTTTCTTTCTTCTTTTTTTTTTCTTTCTCTACATTTTTTATTTACCAATGCTTTGTTTTCCTTAGTTATGAGTTTCTCCCACCTTCTTTCTCTGTGCTTCTTAGAATGATAGAAAGAACACCATAAAGGTATAGTGGAGGATGTTCTATTTCCAGGTGGATCATCAAAATAAGTGATCCTCTTAATGGTCAATCATTCTGGTTAGATGTTTACGTAAGGCCGTCCTACGTGCTCGTCTCCATTTACACTTAACGGTGGTGAGTCTGACATAGTGGAAAAATTGCAAATCTTCTTTTGGAAAGTAAGTTTATATGAGCGATGCAAACAGCAACTTTTAAACAGAGCGTGCACAAGTAGAAAGGGCTCGTGCATGCTCTTGAACGCGTTTAATCGGCATTTTACTCTCTGGAGCAGGTACAGGGTTGTGCATTATTTTATTTTTTTTTAAGTGGTCAGGGCGGGTCTTTTCAAAAATTCCTCCACTATACCTTTAAATTAAATAAATTAGCTGTTGCTAACGCTGATGTAGAGCTGCCTTTTTCTGCTCTAGTTCAGCGTGAAACCCTGATGTTGTGCTGTCCCTTTATTAAAGTGCTCTACTGAAGCCATTTATTGCATCTAAAAATTTTGCTGGCATAAAACAAAGCTTTATCAGTTGGTACTAGTCTCTACAGAACCTGCAGAGCTGTTGCATGTATTTTGGGCAGAAATGCGTGAACTGTTTCACCCCTGCTACCTTAAAATCATTCTGCAATGATTTGGTTTCTTTTCCTTTTTCTCCAGCCTGAACACTACTGTGGCTCCTCTCCTCTACGCCGATCAGTTCCTCCAGTTTTCCACGGCTCTGCCCACTCAGTTCATTTATGGCCTGGGTGAGCACCGCTCCACCTTCTTGCACAGCGTTCAGTGGAACACTCTCACCATGTGGGCCAGAGATGTTCCTCCTATGGTAGGCCCAGTAATCATTTCTACTTTTCATCATTACAGTCTATGTGTTGTGATACTTGCTTCACAGGTTTACTCCTATAGGAATAATATGGTTAAAAAAAAGGAAGTTTAAATGTGTTTTTCTTGGTTAATAGGAACAGACAAACCTGTATGGGGTGCATCCATTCTATCTGGACATGGAGAGCGGAGGGGATGCACATGGCTTCTTCCTGCTCAACAGTAATGCAATGGGTCAGTCTGTTAGTTATCCCCATAATTCCACCAGGAATCTAGTGGATTCCTGCAATGAAAAGAAAATTAAAGCTACAGGAATAATAATTATGATATGCAGATGAATTTAAAGCTCAGCATTTCACAACAGCAAAATGCTGACAAAGTGTAGAAACTCTGGAAAAGATGAAGTTGATTTTTCACATGATTCAGTTTCATGATTCCACCTCAACTTCCCAGTTTTGTGAAAGCATAAAGCCTTTGAATTCAACATCTGATGACTTCTGTTTAGTATTCCTCCTAATAGTGGAAAGCAGACGGAGGATACATGTTTGGAAATGACGTCTTTTTAAAAAAATATATATATTTTTTAGAAATACTTTTTAAGACTTGAAGATATACCAACTGAATTGTAGGTTTTTGGAAGCTGGAATCTGAGTCCACCACCTCTGTTTAAAGTTGTTTTTTCTCTCTTTACATAGATGGCCTCCTTCACGCCCCTCTCAAACCACCTATTTTCTTTATCCAGAATGTGAACATTCTGGTTCTCAAAAGAATGTCCTTTGTCCACAAGGTGCAGGTGTACTGCAGTCTTGTCCAGACAAGGCCGCTCTCAAAAACAATACCAAGATTTTTTTACTTTATTATCTGCAATCAGTTTAATCCCATCCAAATGAAGTGACTGTCTAATCAGCTTCTTTTTCAAAGACTGGTGGAAGGGTATTACAATTGAAACCGGTACAGAAATAGTCAAAGTCACACATGTTAAAACTAATACAAACAATGCATTTATATATGCATGCCTGCCTTCATTGATCATTAGTAAAAAGCCTTAGTGTTGATTTGTGTCTGTAAGGCTCTGCTTTGAAAAGGCCAATTTAAAAGAATGATTCATTTCTAGACCAGTTCTGATTTGTGTTTGGGATCTTACTCGTACTCGTCGTCTCCTACTTTATCCGGATCCGGGTCGCGGGATCTTAGTGTTGATTTCATATGACTTCTTTATACGTAAAGTTAAAGATTTTTTTTTCTGTAGATCTGCAAATCAAAACCCCTTTTTCAGATTTGCAGTGTTGATGGTGTTTTTTCTTCTCAACCAGATGTGGTCCTCCAGCCTGGCCCCGCCATAACCTGGCGAACCATCGGGGGAATCCTAGACTTTTACGTGTTCCTTGGTCCTGACCCCAGTTCAGTTATTGAGCAGTATGTGGATGTTGTAGGTCAGTAAAAGTACTCTGATCGAGCTAAATGGCTGATAGTGCAGCTGAAAACAGTAAGATATTATAAAACCTCCTGACTTGATCACATTAAGAATCTTTTCCATGTTTTTTTTCTACCAGGCCACCCAGCCATGCCCATCTACTGGGCCTTAGGATACCACCTTTGTCGATGGGGCTATGATTCCAGTAATGCGACCTGGGAAGTTGTCAAAAACATGAGGAATTATGGGATACCTCAGGTGAAGTTGTTTGAATTTTTCATTGTTATTTTTTTTTCTTTTTTCGTCAGTGAAATTATGATGAATAATTTTCTAACAATAATCACCAATAGAAATAAACAAGTTATCTCTGAGCTTTTTGTTTTTCCTCTGGATAGCTGGGTCATATGGTTGCTTTTTCCTTTTAAGGAAGGGACTTTCACTTGATAAACTGTTAAAGACTCAGAGTTTCTATAAACCTAAACAAAAGTTCACCTTTTTACTTAATTTAAATTTAGTCTTCTGATTTTTTTTGGAAATAAAAATTATAATGGTTCACCTTGTAGAGTATGGGTTATTTCTCATTTTGATTGTACGATATGCTAGGCTGGGCTTGGATTTATCAACCAGGATCTAAATAAATCAGTAATTTTTTTTTTTCATTGATTCATGCCAACTTTAAAGTACAGTAGATATCTGTAATGCCGTGGGTCTGTTTGTTCTGCAGCAGGAGGTTCATAAGAATGCATAGCATTGTGGACATTTTGAATAAAGGAAAAGTTTTTGTGCCATCTCAGTCTACAAACCTACTTATTGATAGTGTCTGCTGTGGTTGGGTGATTTCAGGATGTCCAGTGGAATGACATCGACTACATGGACCAAGCCAAAGACTTTACTTATAATCCGACCAGCTTCAACACCCTCCCCGATCTTGTCCGCGACCTGCATGCCCACAACCAGACCTACGTGATGATTCTGGTACGTAGACATTTAGAACTGTTTATTACTGATAAGATTTGATCAAATAACTGATTTATTTTCTGCCCACAGGATCCAGGAATCAGCAGCTCACAGCCTGAGGGCTCATACTGGCCTTTTGATGAGGGACTGAAGAGAGGAGTTTTTATTAAGGACGCCGAGGGAAAAACACTTATTGGGAAGGTGAGGGGGGGAGCTGGACATGTCACGTCGCTCTGAGGTTTTCGCAACAGTCAGCTACATGCTCAGCGTGTTTGTTTGATAAGCTATCACTGCAACAAAGACAAAGGAATGCGGATGTAATATCTGTGGTTCTGAGATTAGATTGCAGTCCACAGGACATCTAGTGGGTCAGCTCTGTACTGAAATGAGCAGCATCATCACATGTTTAATGAGAGCTGAATTAGGAAGTGATAGGCCTGCTTTAAAACAAGAGGAATGTTTTTAGAAGGTTCCCTGATTCAGAGAGATCAAAGCTAGATCTGCTGTGAATAAAACATTTTGTAGCTGTTCTCTAGATCATCAGTGCTACATTAGATGGTGGGCTGAATGATTTTAGGAAAACGGGCAACATACTATTGCTGAAAATGTAGATAAGAGTTGACCTTAAAAAAATATTTTTTTAGTTTTTTTTTTCTTCTTTTCTCTCTTGTTACACAGCATTTCTGCTGCTACACCCATATATAATGTGGGCATTAAAGGCAGTTAGTCTATCCAGTGGGCCACTGTTATTATCAATAAACACAACATAAATGCATGATATTTAAAATTGAATGCATGATGTTTAAAATACATAATACTCTAAAATTCTAACTCCAAGCAGTCCCTTAGTGTTGGTATGTTCACAGAAGGTTTTTTGTGAGTGTTGTTAACCTAACTTGTGACTTTGTGTTTGGCTGATTTATTGCTTATTTTATTAAGCGATAAATGTTCACAAAAGGTTTGAATGAGGTTTTGAGCCACCAGTCTTTTTTTTTTAAGGCAACATCATTGGTGTAAGCATTTAATACTATTGGAAAGTAACATTTTAAACCACAATTCGTTAGTTTTTAATATTTAACGGCAGCCACACTGATACATGAGAATGCTGAAGGAGAATCAGGATAAATATATAAATAAATGTGATTAAAATATCTTGTTATACACTAGTTTAGGATGACGAAAATGAATCAGGGTTAAATTTCATGATCATTTCCTGCATCACTCTGGGATTGTTTGCTTATTTCAATACTACATTTATGAATGGCCATTAATAAGGTGCTTTAAATGTGTATTTGTTTCTGTAAAGATTTCTTGTATTTGTGCTGTTTTGCCATCTCTGCAACTTTTCTGCAATCAAACACATGTGATAGCTGTTTTTAGCATCAAGCTTTAACAATAACTGGTCTTTGTTTTGGCTCTCTTTGTAGAAGAATTCTAAATCAACAACATTGGAGAGGGTTTTTTCTTTCTTTTTTTTTTTTTCCATTAAAAACTTTTAAGATGAAGTTTTGGCATCCAGGCTGGATTTAGCTCAGAGCTTTAAATGAATACATGAACACCTGCACTTGCACTGTTGTTCTTTCCATTAGCTTGTTTCTAATAGCCTCTTGAATCCCCTTCGAGCTGGTCACGATGCATTGGATTTAACAACCTTTTAGTCTCCTTTATGTTTGTAGATGAAGCAGACCTGTCAGTCGTCGAAATTTAACCACAGCTTACAAAACAATGCTGTTAATAACAAACAATTAATGATTTAAGGAGTGAAGGAAATCTAATGAATCTGACCTGTTTTGTGCTTCTCTTTTAGGTGTGGCCTGGTCCAACAGCATTTCCAGACTTCTCTGATGAGGTGACACATGAATGGTGGTATGAAAACCTGCAGCGGTTTCATCAGAAAGTGCCGTTCAATGGATTGTGGATTGTAAGTTTAAAAAAAATCTATTTTAAATTCACATTATCTTATTATATAAAGTGCTTTGTATTGGTATTTATACTGTGGTAACTTTTTAATATCTTATTATACTTGTCCAGGAGGAGCGAATCCTAAAATTTTATGACTGAAAGGGATCCACTGGTTTTCCTTAGATAGAAAACTTTGAACCAATGTGACTGCATGATCTGGTTGAATTGGCTCTGTAAAGTACCTTCAGATGACATGTAATGTGAATTGGTGCTTTATGAATAAACTAAATTGACTCTTATCTAGTGTTGCACCGATACCGATACCAGTATCGGATGGGGCCCCAATACTGCCCTAAAATGGTGGTATCGGTATTGGCGAGTACCAACAAATAGGGCACGGATACCATTTTGAGAGCCATAAGTTTATTCAACTATTGTCACCCACTCCTCGTAGGCAATAAAAAGTTCTACCGGATTCACTTTGTATTAGATTTTTTCCTGCTTCACAAAGGTAGGCAGCAGCTTGACAAAGCCATGATGGCAATTATTTTACATTATTATGGTATCGGTATCAGCCGATACTGCACAGCCAGGTATCGGGTATCGGTATCGGGGCCAAAAAATGGCATCGGCGCAACACTACTCTTATCATGTTAAGCGATCTAAGGAAGATGATGATCTAAATTTACTACCAGAACCATATTGTTTACTGAATTCAGCCACTTTTACTCTGATATCCCTAGAAGTAAAATTCAATGCAACCTGCTGATATCTAAAACCGCGGACAGGTTACGGATGAAGTTAGAGGATTTTAAAGCAGGTTACATTTTAAAATAATATTTATCCAAAACAAAGTATAGAACAATGGAAATCAGTCAAGATGATGATAAGAAAAAGTTATACCAAAGTTATACCAATGGAGGTGGCAGCATCATGGTGTGGAGATGCTGGTCAGGATTAATAGATTATTGTCTGGAGATAAATAGAAGGGATTGAAGATGAAAAATAGGATTTTTATAGGATGACACCAATCAAACAAGTCAGAGTTCTACTTACTAACATGCCCAACATTGTGTTTCTCATTTTTAAAAATTTTGATTAACACTTCTTGTTTTAATTGTCTTTCAGGACATGAATGAGCCGTCAAACTTCATGGATGGATCTACGGAGAGCTGTCCATCAAACAGCCTGGAAAATCCACCTTATACACCAGGTGAAAAACATTTAACCAACCAGTGAAGCAGAAATGCAACAACATATAAACCCTCCATCCAGTATACAACATGAACATTTTTGTTTCTTCCAGGTGTGCTGGGAGGTTTGCTGAGGTCTAAGACTATTTGTGCTTCTGCACAGCAGAAACTGTCAACACATTATAACTTGCACAGTCTTTATGGACTCATGGAAGCTAAAGCCACGTCAAGGTCTGGACTTCAGAGGAAACTGAGCTGACAGTCAAGCATGTGCTTTGATTTCTGAGCTTAATGAGAGTTTTTTTCTCTCATTTGTGTTTCATTCAGTGCTCTGAAGAGGATTTTGGCAAAGAGACCCTTTGTGATCTCCCGCTCCACCTTCCCCAGTCAGGGGTTGTATTCGGGTCACTGGCTTGGAGACAACCGCAGCCAGTGGAAAGACCTTTATACCTCCATCGCAGGTCAGGAGCTCAGTCAAGCTTCCTTGTGTTTACAGAAATAGCCTGATAGACGTGCTTATAAAATATAAGTAAGGCGGTCACACATTACTCACGTCATGGAGTCATTTGAAAAAGCTGTCTCTCCACCAGGTGGCACCAAATCCTACACACTATTTCTTGTAACTCTTTTGTGATTTATCTCTCTGTTCCTCTCCTGCAGGTATGTTGACCTTTAACCTTCTCGGGATCCCGTTGGTGGGGGCAGATATCTGCGGCTTCAGTGAGGAGACGCAGGAGGAGCTCTGTGTCCGCTGGACTCAGCTGGGAGCTTTTTATCCCTTTGCACGAAACCATAATTCCCTCGATTTGGAGGTAAGGAAGGCCGATTAGAGAGAAGATGGATTTGCTGGACGCTAAATAAGCTTTTAACTGAGTCCAAGCAGCATCGCAGCCAACCTGAATGTAGTAGAAAATATCACAGTGATGATATTAAAACAGGATATGACTGATTCTTATATAATGAATATGATTTTTTTTAATTTTTTTTTATTATCAACGTTTTTAAATTATTTTCTTAAGATTTATCATTATAAGATTTTGGAGTTTTATGCAGTTTAAAAAGTCATTTCTGGGTTTATAAAGTGTTCTGTTCTACAGACAGAATTTTATTGATAATTTCAAGAATTTGTCCTCCTTAGACCTCCACATATCGGCTTATTAACTTCTGATTTAAGAAAATATAGAAACAACTTTAAACTGAAGTAATGCAAAGATGCTCATTAATTACATCATGGCTTTATGTGTAAATGAGTGATCATAGCTAAACTGGGGTTTGGTTTAGAGTGACAGCTGTGTCCTTGTGCTGCTGCTCTCAATCTCAATAAGGAACAAAGTTGAGCTCTAACTTTTTTTTCTTTCTTCATTTCTTCAGCCTCAGGATCCGACGGCGTTCAGCCCGCTGGCCCGTACTGCCATGAAACAGGCCCTGCTGCTGCGTTACTCCTTCTTCCCTTTCCTCTACACCCTCTTTCATCACGCTCACCTCAAAGGACACACAGTCGCTCGGCCTCTTATGTTTGAGTGAGCAGAACTCTGGTCTCATACTTATGTCTTGCTTTGACATATTTTCACCCCCTTAAACTGAATCCTGATTTATCTCCTCTCTATTGAACCATCAGGTTCCCCAAAGACATCAAAACATACAGCATTGACAGACAGTTTCTGTGGGGCAGGAGCTTATTGGTGACTCCAGTGTTGGATCCTGGAGTCGACTATGTGAACGGGTACTTCCCAGAGGGTCTGTGGTATGACTATTACACGGTAAGAATATTTATGCTGAAACACAGCCGTTACATGAACAATGCTAAAGCAGGTGAATAAACATGGTGCTTTCTCTCCTACCTGTGGTATTTACCCCCCCAAGGGCGACTCTGTGAGCAGCAAAGGAGAAGAACTTCAGCTCAGTGCACCGCTAGATAAAATCAACCTGCATCTGCGTCAGGGCTCTGTGATACCAACTCAGGTATTACACTCTAGTTGTGTTAAACGTGCTTCCCATGTGTGAAAATCAAGCACTTAGAGGGAAGACATGTTAATTAATGCTGACATACTAGAATATTGGAGATGTTTTCTATAAAATGCAGCAAGATTTAAGCTATTCTCTCATCCACCTGTCGGTAGTTTCTGTTAAGGTTTTCTTTCTCCTGCTCAGGAGCCCAACCTGACCCTGTGGGTGAGCAGCGGCCAGCCTCTCCATCTGGTATCAGCTCTTTCCGATGATGGTTGTGCCAGCGGAGATCTGTTCTGGGACGACGGAGAAACCCTCGACACCTATGAGACCGACCGCTACACATACGTTGTGTTCAACGTCTCCCAGGTGCCAGCGCTTCATCCACATTATTTGTCAGGGATTTTAATTGGCATATGACGGCTAATCACAGCGAACCGGAACACTGTGTCTAAGTTTGACTAAGTTTGATGTAAAGCTACTGACCGTTTGTCCTAAACTTTTGTAGAACGTGATGACGTCCAACGTGCTTCACAGCAATGTGGAAGGCTCATACATAACCATTGACTCAGCCTCATTCTATGGGGTGAAGGAGAAGCCCAGCAGAGTGCTGGTGAATTCCCAGGAGGTCCAGTTCGTCTACAGAGACAACCAGGTGAGCTCTGGTCTAATGGTGAAACATATAGTACAAGGGGCGTTCAGTAAGTAATGCCCCTGGCCCACTTCCAGATGTTTGATTGAGCTGAAATTTAGCATGTGAAGTATTTTAAATCTCTATAGATTAAGTAGCAAATAGCAGCTCTGAACTAATTGTGGTTTCTGATTTAGTGGTGTTAAAACTGAGTCAAGTCTGAGGTTTTGCATTTGAAAGGACGCACACAATGGGAGACTTTTGATCAAATGAAAGTAACTTAAAGTGATAATGTCCCATAATATAACCTTGTAAAACATTTTGCAAGGTCATATAACGGGCATGATCACCATAAGTTACTTTAATTTCATCAAAAGTCTCCCGTGGTGTGAGTCCTTTCCAATAGAAAAAGCGGATCACTGCTCGACTCTCAACAGGCTCCATTTCAGACTTTACTCAGTTAAAACACCTGTAAGTCAGAAACCACAAATAGTTCAGAGCTGTAATTTGCTATTTACTCTATTGAGATTTAAATAACGTCACACGCAAATTTTCAGCTTGATCAAACATCTGGAAGTGGGTCAGGGGCATTACTTATTGGCTCTGTTCGAAAACCTAGGACGCATCCTTAGAAGACCGGATTCGAAGGCCGATTACGTCATAGCGCGGCGCCGAGGTCTGGTCGGATTCCAAGAGTTCTCATTATGCAGCCTTAAAATGCGTCCTTCTTTTTGCCCGATTTGAAGGACGGGTCTGATGTATCCTCGGTATTCTTGGATATCCCAGGATTCATTGCGAGACCAAGCAAGCTGTGATCAGAGTAAAGGTTACTTGGCGCCGAACAGTGGTGAAAATTGCAAGTTCAGTTTAATATAATACAAGTCATTTAATAGTTCCGTCTGAGATTAATGAAAAATAGTTGTTTTAATGGTTATTGAGTCAGATATGTGGCGGCAATGTTTGATTTATCTAAAGGTTTTTATCTGTTACTGTGTAAATGGGTTTGGCTGTAATTTAAGGACAGATTCTAATAGAGATGTCCCGATTCAGGTTTTTGCACTTCCGATCCAATACCGATATTGTTTTTGGACTTCCGATCCGATACCGATACTGGCCGATACCAGCCTATCCGAGCATGTATTTAAGTTTAACTTAAAGTATTTAGCCTTAGTTGTAAGACTCATGTTGAAAAGGGTTTTAGTACTCTTGATAACATCTAGCCAGCTGAATTAGGGGAGATTGAATAAAACACAATGATTGGTAACAACAAACTTACCTGTTTATTAACAGATAAACACAAACTGGACAAAATTATGAATAGCAATCTAATATTGCACAGTGAGCAGTAAAACCGTAAACAGTTAAAGGTGCTATATTACTGTAAGTTTTAATAAAAATGCAAAACAGACAGGAGTGGAAAATAGTCTATTAACTTAGAATCAGGACTCTACTCTTGAAAAAAGACACTTTTAAAAAAAAATCTGTGCAAATAATAGTTAAACAAAAATGCCTTATACTCCCCAATGTCCTCCACACCTAGTCTCCATCTACACATCGTGCAGGATAAACATTTTCCCCGCTATCTTCCAATTCACCTGTTTTAATGCTTAGGCCGGGAGACAAACCCAAAAAGACCTGTGGGTGTGTTGAAGGTGTTCTGGAAAATACGGACCGGATTCGGGGAACACTGGCGCAAAATAGTGGAATGGATTGATTCAAACGGCGAAACTGGAAAATACGGACCAGATTTTTAAAAAAAAAACTGGATCGGCAGTCTGGATCGGCATTTTTACATTCTTTGCCGATACGCATTTCTTTGCCAATATCGGCGTCCGATACATGGATCGGATCGGGACAAGCCTAGATTCTAATATATCTGCAGGGTGGCGACTATAAATCTGATAGGATTTTTATCTTTTTATTGCTGTTTTGCACAATATGCTTAACTACGTATTTTTTGTTGTTGAATATTAGAGATTTTGCAGATATATTTTTTTATAAATACATTGTTTAGATTTACTTATATCTTTCTACCCCTTTTATAGAATAGAATAGAAAATCCCTTTATTTTCCCACAATGGGGAAATTTACAGCAGCAGAAAGATTATTGAAAATGGTCACACAAATGTGGACCTTAGAAAAATGTATAAGAATAACATAATAGGGAAGAGTTAAAATATAAAGAATACAATTCTGTAAAGTGTTTTAACAATATAAAACTGGGGAATAAATAACCAATATGCAGCTATGGACATTTTTACAGTAATGGATATTTGAAAATAGCAGCAACATCAGAGATGTGCAGAATGACAGCAGCAGGTTGTTTAACTGACTAAGGTTTCTATCATTACATTTGATCTTATTTGTTCCTGCTCCCGGTTGGAACATTTATTCCACTCTGGATTCTTGGGAGTGTAGTCTTTGTTCACTTCAAAATAAAAAATAAATAAATACCGTATTTTCACGACCATAAGGCGCACCGTACTAAAAGGCGCAGTCTCAGTTATGTGTCCCATTTCTGTATTTAACACACACATAAGGCGCACCGGACTATAGGGCGCGTTTTTTATATACAGGTACATGTCCTCTACTACCTTTAAATACCTCTACTGCGTATTTAAAAATACAGCGGGGGCAAAACTGAGTATGATTGTGCTTTGTTCATGTATTTATTACAAAGTATTAATCAAACCTGCGAGCTGGCCATGAGACAGACACATCGCAGATGACAGAGCGCTGTGATCGCTCCTAAATTAACTTAAAATCCTGAAACCTGCCGACGGAATATGTTCGCTTTTATTACCGGTATCCTGGTGCCTGCAGCTAAAATTATTTAGATGAAAAACACCTGCCAGCAGCCGCGGTGAACCCGGAGGCTACCCAGCCTAGAGGCTGCTGATGAAAGGATTTCTACTGTCGGCGCACCGCTGGTATGTGGGGGTCTGAGCGCCTCCGACAGAAATAGATAATCTGGATGAACTGACTGCAATTATGAAGTTTTCAGGTGGACTTTCTCACTTAAAAACATATTAAAACTACTTTATTCCCACTGATCACAGCAAATATAGCTGCAAGATTTAGATTATTTAGATGAAAAAACACCTGCCAGCCACCGCGCTGAAGAGGAGGAGACCCGGCCCAGAGGCTGCTGTTGAATTAAGTTTTCAGGTAGAAAAATAGAGCGGGAGCAAATATGAGTATGATTGTGCTTTATTCAAGTATTTATTACTAAGTATTAATCAAACCCGTCAAAGTCATCGTCCTCTGTTTCTGAATAAAACAGCTGCGCTAAATCAGACATGCCAGTTTCCCCTTCTTAGCTGTCAGAGTCACTTTCCGTGCAGCGCGGCTCCTCAGAAATAATGCCGGCTTTTGCAAAAGCTTGAACAACAGAGCCAGCAGACACGTTAGTCCAAGCATCTACAATCCATCCTCAAACTGTGGCGTAACTTGCCCGGCGCTGCCTTCCACTTATCCTGAAACTGTGCTCTCCGTCTGTCATCCATCGCTCCCACGCCGCTCGCAGCCTTACTTTGAACGGCCGCTTCACACCGATGTCGAGCGGTTGAAGTTCCTTTGTCAGACCCCACGGGATAACGGCGAGCACAGTATTCATTTGATTCACCTTTTTTTTCACATCGGCTGTGAGATGGGCACGCAGCGATGGTGATGCGTGGAAAAAAGCACCTGGTCTCCTCACATACACCTCCCTCAGCCACGCTTTCATCATCTCCTCATCCATCCAGCCTTTGTCATTTGCGTTAATATCATATGTCATCAGAGCGCTGTGTCTGTCTCGCTGTCAGCTCCCAGATCAGCTTCTCTGATTGGTTGATGCGGCGCGTCCAGCAGCAAAACTTCAATTTTTCCATCTCGAGCAGCAGCAGCGCGTTGGCGGTGCGTCAGATGCTTAAACGCTCCCGACGTGCTGCGCCTGCTGCTCAAAACGCGCTGCGGGACCTTTTGCTGCACCTATACGCGCGTCAACCATTGACTTTGCATGTAAACTCACTGCTTCTGCTGCACCTGCTGGGTCCGGTTCACACCGATGTCAAGCGGTTGAAAAACAGCAAGCACAGCGTTAATTTGTTTCCCCATGTTTTTCACATCAGCTGTGAGATGGGCACGCATGGAGTTACATATTAACAGCGATGGTGATGAGTGGAAAAAAAACACCTGGTCTCCTTACATTCACCTCCCTCAGCCACTCTTTCATCATCTCCTCAATGAGGTGGTCTCAAAAGTCGCAGTTACAACACACATAGGGCGCACCGCACCATAGGGCGCACTGCACATTTTGAGGGGAAAAAAAGACGTTTAAGTGCACCTTATAGTCGTGAAAATACGGTAAACAGTTTTGAAAACTTCTGTATTAATTCTTTTCCTGCTTTGTGTGTCAACATTTACGGTTGCTAAGCAACAGAGCATACGGCGGTAAAACCCGCCGAAGGGTAGACCCTGGTCGAATTCACAGCCAGAACTCTTCCGGTCTCCTTATTTTCAAGGACTTCGAAGGATCCAGTCTAGGTAGACCGCGTCCTTGGAGGAAGCGTCCTAGGTTTTCGGACAGAGCCATAGAACGGCCTTTGTAGTAGCTGTTGGGGTTTTTTCTTTTTGTTTTTTTTTTTTTCTTTTTTACACATATATCAGCAATATTTACTGTAGAAACATATTTATCTTCATAAATAGATTCTTATTTTAATTTGGAAGTTCTTTTGGATCCTGTAACATGCACAATAATGTTAGAAGACCTTATGTATAGTTACTTCTGACCAGTAACTAAGGGTGTATTTAAAGCAGCACCGTTTAGTCCACTTTAGCAGGACCATAGTTCGTTTGGCCAGGAAGTTTGGCTTGTTTAGGGAGGTATGAATGCGCAATCGAACTCTGATGCAGACCAAAAAAACAAACTCTGGTCCTCCTCAAAACCTAGTCTCAGTTGAAGCAAACTCTGGCGCGGTGCGAATAGAGATGTGATTCCAGGCGGACTGGAGACCTCTCCAAAAGCTGTAATTGTACTATAATTGAGGGATAATACAAATTAAGTTATTCATAGCTTAGAAATATGAATAATATGTGTCACATGTGACAGCCACATTTGGAGCCTTGAGTATTAAAAAAACAGTCTTTCATGATTTCATTGTTGATAGGTATTTATTTACCAAACTAGCCAAAATACAGCATAGCAATGACACTGCTGGAATCTGTTGTCATTCAATGATGTTTACATTTTCACGGATATGGAAGTCGTTTTGTGTTGTTGACTAACCATCTTTCTACAACGGTTCTTGGTGCAGTGCCACCGCAGGCGAGATGGTAAATGGGAGGGTCGAAAGGTTTGTTTCAGGTTGAAAAGTGTCTTGTGAAAGAAAACGGTACCAGATGAATATAGTAACTGCAGGGGCAAAGTCGACGCTTAAAGCCGCTGGAGTGTTTTTAAACCGGAATCTTATGGTTGATGTCTTATGGTTGGGTGAGATGGTGAACAGGAAATGCCCAGACACTGTTCTTGCTGTTTAAAGGTTGATTTATTCCCACTCTTGCTGCTTACAAAACAAAACAAATTATACAACAGCCAGCTGTGAGATGACAGCGTTTCCTCGCCAAGCGGTCAAACCGATTTGCCTTTTCTGGTAAAACACATGCCCATACAAACATCATTTCTCTTCTTTTATAGAGCTTGTACATAATGGCTTCTACAGTAACAATGTTTCAATTTTGGCCCTCAATAGATCCGAGTCTACTTATCAGGTGTGAAAACAACCTAAGAGTTTTAGCCTGTGGGAAAAAAGCGTTTCATTGGTTTGATCTGGTTTGTTCACTGATTCTATCTACAGTTTGTTGTCCAAGTCTCTTGCTTTATATCCTGTAGACTAACAGAGCATCATTATACGGATTTACAGATGAGCTTCTTTGAACTGGTTGATGCACATTACTGTCAGATGACCAAACTGATGGGAACTTTGTGTTTTCCAATGTGAGCGTCAGCAATGTTGGATATAAATCATGGGTGATCAATATGAAACCCTTGTAGAATGATGGAACAGTTCAGGTTGTTTCACTTTTTTTCCCCTCTCGTTAAACTGGTGTATTTGTCTCTTTCTTTCCCTCTCTGCAGGTTTTATCAGCTGCAAACCTGGGTCTCAGCCTCATCCAGAACTTCACCATCAGCTGGAGCTAATAATCAGACTGATAGTTTATGACAGCGCATCAGAGACACAGAGAGTAGAGAGTTTTAACATTTGGCTTCAAGTTTCAACACACTGGATTTCAACTCACAAATGCCTGTAACTGTGATGCTTCATTGTTTGGTTGCATCTTTTAAGCCACAGGAATTTGTTTTGCTTTAAGCTCAAAGGGTAAACCACCGGAGCGTGATTTTTTTAAAGCCTAAAAATCCTCTGTTCACTGTAGTTTAATAGAAGTGTTAAGAGCTGAGATCCTAACCTTTGGAATTCACTGATTTGGAAAACTAAATGCTTTATCAGTCAGAGGTGGAAGTGAAAGTTTATTTGAACTCGACTGGTCAAGTTTGAATGAACGTGCTTCCTCTTTAACAACCTTTCATCAAGAAGGGTTTCATGACTGACAGGCTAACGTTGATCCACATACTGCTAACACCGCTTTATGATTCAGACCTTTCATAATGAAAGCTTAACTCAACGGTTTGCTCTGTCTTCAGTTTGATCAGAACTACTTTTTAAAATCTTCTCGTATGCAGGAAGGTGATGTGCAATAAACAAACAGGAGGGTCAATTTCCATCCTTAAAAATGTGACGAATCTGAATGTAACTGTTTTCAGTGCGGAATGAAGTTGCGTGGATATTTCTTTTGCACTGTTGTTGCTGCAGTATTTTAAAGTTAGGGAGAGGTGCCTTATGCTTTTGTTTTAATTCCTCTAAGAGAGCGTTTGTTTTTAACTGCTTGTTGTGAGCAAGTTTCCCACTCTGGCGACATTCAGACTTTAAAGAGGAAAGATGTTTTAGGAATTAAGTGGTGCCCAGATGCAGTTTTTAATTCAGATGGGTTAAATCATGCAACGTTGATGAGACATTTATGATTTTAATGCTGATCTGAGTTTTGTTCTGATATTTTTCAGTTTGTTTTATGATCTTATACAATCAGTTTGACACATTTTTGTTAAAAATATTTTTTTTTTAAACCCCTTTTCTTTTTATGAAACGCTTCTGTGTGCATGGAAGGAATGATTTATTTCAATATAAAAGATGGAGCTATTGATGACTGTAATCAACAATTTTGATTCGGGAAATATTAGATGTGGTGTTGCATTTACCACCACTAGAGGGAGCAGTGTCTCAGTCCTTGTGTTTTTTTTCTCCACATTTTAACAGCTGTGTCTTTATATTTCACATTGTTTGTTTGTCTAAAATGCCAGTATTCTTTTAAATCAATAAAGTCAAAAGATAAATAAAACTCTCATTAATGCAACTAGCTGCTGCTTGGTCTGCCATTTAAAAGAGGAAAGCTGTGTAGATGTATGCTAGACAGGCAATTAATAATGCTCCCGGAATATAATGTGGCTGCTTCTTTCACATTTCTTCCTCTGTTTCTTTGTGTATTTCATTTAAAATGCATCAATAATGTGGTTTTAATTGGCAATTTTTTTGTGATTGATAAAATACTAAAAAAAAAAGCAAGTAATTTCCCTCCTTTTACAGAACATTTCATCTGAATGAGTTACCAGGCCAAAAGGAAATTTCAAAGCAAAGTAAATTGATGTATTTTCATTTTAATTTGAATGGGCAACAATTCGTTCAATAAATGTTCTCTTTAAAATCTGCTGAGTGCATTAAAATTAATTTTACATAGAGCCTCTTGTGTTTCATTCATATACATTATATTGCCAAATATTATAGAGCCATCATTATCATTGCTTCAACTGTTTTGGAAACTATGATGATGGGACTGGATCCCTGTCTCTGGTTCCATCAAAGGCAGCAATAAACTTAGGTGTGATGATGACCAGCTGAGCTTTAAAGCACAGGCTCCCCTCAGGGCTGCGTCCTGAGCCCCCTACTGTTCACCCTGATGACGCATGACTGCGTCCCCAGGTTCACCACCAATTACATCGTGAGTTTGCAGACGACACCACGGTGGTGGGCCTCATCAGAGACGACCACAACTACAGAGAGGAGGTGGTGCAGCTGGTGCAGAGATAACAGCCTGATCCTCAACGTGGAGAAGACGAAGGAGATCATCGTTTACTTCAGGAAGAACCAGCCTAACCATCAACAGCTTAGCTGTAGAGCTACAGTAGTTAGCAGCACCAAATTCCTGGGGGTGCACATTACAGACAGCCTCACCTGGACTGTAAACACCAACTCACTGGTCAAAAGGGCACAACAGCGCTTGTACTTCTTGCGGAGGTTGAGGAGAGCCCTCCTGCCCCCACCCATCCTCTCCACCTTCTACAGAAGCATCATAGAGAGCGTTCTGACCAGCTGTATCCCTGTGTGGTGTGGAGGCTGCAGTGCCTCAGACTGGAAGAAGGTGAGAACAGCAGAGACGATCATCAGAGCACCTCTTCCCTCCATTAAAGACATCTCATCCCAGCGCTGCTTGTCCCGAGCCTGTAACATCATCAATGACCCCTCACACCCCCACCATGGACTGTTCTCCCTGGTGCCCTTGGTAAGAGACTTCACAGCATTCGATGCAGGTCCAGCAGCTTCCAGAAAAGTTTCTTCACCACTGCCATCAGACTGCTAAATGCTGTATAAAATGGGCTTGTAAAAAAACAAACAAAAAGAACCCTGAATGTTTGAAACTAACTAATATACAGTTATATGTTTACATTTATCACTGCTTCTTACCATTTATCACTGCTGCACTTTCAGAGGTTTCAAAAGTACACACATTTGTTACTTAAGTAGAAATATAGATACCACAGTTTAAAAACACTCTTGTAAAAGTTGAAGTATCAACTTGACCTCTTTACTCAAGTAAAAGTGAAAAAGTATGTGCCTCAAAAACTACTTAAAGTATAAAAGTATAAAGTAACCTTTAAAAATCCAGCCAGATGCCACTATATGAATTTAAAGCTCAATTTTACGACTTTTTAGAAAAATTCTTTGAGATAGGGCCAAGGATGAGGGAGGTCTTGTTGGTCTCCATCTGATACGCTCTCGCCTGTGTCCAACCTTTCAGACATTTCAACATCTTTTTCTGTATCCGACATTGTAGCATGGCATAGACAATTCACCTTTGCAGTTTAAAGAACACCTGCTTGCTTCTGATGATTTCCTTTAGCTAACCAATGAGTGTTTGCGTTATATGACTCATCCAATTACACTAGTTTTCACTAGATGTGGATGGAGCCAATGATCTGCATTGGATGGAGCACATGACGGCAAATAAATATTTATAAACATTAAACCGAAGCCAAAAGTAACGAGTAATGTTTGTTTTAAAAATGTAAGGAATAGAAAGTACAGATACTTGTGTAAAAATGTATAGAGTAGAAGTCAGAAGTAGGAAGGAAACTAAGTAATGGAGTAAAGTATAGATACCTAAAAAGTTTACTAAAGTACAGTAGCAAAGTATTTGTACTTTGTTACTTGGCACCTCTGTGCACTTTACAAAAAATGAAAATATCTTGAGAGCTGTACTGAACAAAATGTCTTTTTGTAAACACTCTGTGTACACTGTGTATACAAAATGACAGTCTGTCTAAGTTTAGAGGTCATGTTACCTTCGTCTCTCGTTCTTTTGGCTTAACACTACTAAACATGAAAGATAAGGCCATACCTAACCGAACATGCTGCCCAGCTCCTAGTCTAAGGTTATCTCCCGCCTTGTCTATTGTAATGCACTCCACTGGTCTCCCAGCCTGTACAGCAAAACCGTTACAAATGATCCAGAAGGCAGAGGTGCACCTGGGCTTCAACCAGCCCCAAAAATTCTCACGTCACCCGTCTGTTCATTGAGCTTTACTGTTTACCCCTGGCTGCCCACATCCAATTCAAGTCCCTGATGCTAGCCTACAATTTGCTCAAGGGTACAGCTCCTGTCTACTTGAACCCTCTAGGAAAAGCTTATGTCACTCTGATCGTCAATGGTTTTTCGTCTAGCAGTGCCTACTGCACGCTTAAGACAATCCAGACTGTTTTCATATGTTGTTCCAAGATGGCAGAAGGTTTAGAGGTTTCCTTGCTTTAGCACAGCTGATTATAATGGTTGCAGTAGACCAAAAGCATGTTATTCAGCTTTCAATTAAAATCAGCTGTGCTGGAGCAAGGAAACCTCTAAAACCTGCAGGACAGCGGGCCTCGAGGACAGAGGTTGGGGATGCCTGCTCTAGAGAACTTACTGTAATATTGATGATAACTGTAGAATTGTGTCTAAAATGTCTGCTAAATGCATAAACATAAACCTTTACCAGCCACCAAGGGGAGCATTTGATTTTTTCCTAGCACCTGCAAGGTCAAAGGTGTTTGTTGTAAAGAGTGAAGCTGCTCTGGAGGCAGATGTGTACATCTAAAATTCATGAAATTTGAAAATACGTCAAAACCCCAGGTGTATCTAGTGTATTTAGATTGAATTATCATCTCCTTTGGATGAAATTTTATTTCTCCCATAGATCTCTTTGTGTATGTTTTAGCGGCATCAAACCTCCATTTCTTGATTGTCAAGTTGTAGAAAGGCTCTGCAGATGCTGCAATTTTTACATCTTTTGATGTCTAAGCTTTAAAAATAAAAGCTAACTGCAGTAATCACATTTGATGAGTGTTTTTTTTTAATCATGTATTTTACTCAAACCCCCCAAAAACAGTCTTCATGTTATTTTCGAATCATCCATCTGCAAAGTGTTGTTTGCATGTCTCTTTGAAAGGAGAGGAGCTCCTGATTGTTGATTTAAACATTTATAAATTCAGAAATATCAGGTAATCACTGCCAGAAAATGCTACTAAAATCTATCCTGATTACAGGATTTTTTTCACATTTTAAATACTGTATTACTAACTGGTCACTCACAGCCTTAAAAACCACATAAGGGCGATTTAATAAAAGCTTTTAAGGTATTAAATAGAAAACCTTTATCCTTTCATCATTCTCTATTTCTCTAAAATACAGTTTTCTTAATTTTGAACATTTAAAATTACCTGTTTAAAATCTAAGGTTTTAAACTGACTTGCTCCACCACCCCTGGGAGCGTTTAATAAGCTAAAATTATGCATTAGTGGAAAGGTAACCTGATTATCTATTATAGGTGGCTGTGTAATTCCTCACATGTGGTCAGTAGGTGTTATCAGTCCAGGGTGCAGGAAGTTTGAACAACATCCCAGCCGCTGTAAGAGACTCTACAACATTCAGTTAATTGAAAACATAAAAGATGGCTCAAAGGGAACCAGATCTGTGGCTCCTAATGTCAGGTTATCATTATCCTGTGCAGTGTTGTTAATGTTTAACTGTCTTTTTCCACTATGTTTGTAATGTATGTATAATTTTTTTTTGTTTACATTTAAATATTCATGATTCAGAACTGTTCCTCGACATAAATAAAACAAAATATATATATAAAAAAATAAATAAAAAATGAGTTGAAAAGGTCCAAATATACCTAAAGAGGGCAACCTGGGTAAAGTCTGCCAAGTGTCTTCTATGTGTTGGAGAAAAGGGGATGTTCTCCAAGGCCCCCCTTTATTTGAGTTAGACCCTTGAGTCCATCACTGCTCTAATTGATATGATTAGTCTGTCAGGTTGAGATCAGGATTCAGGTTGTTCTGCACCAAACTTTGAATTTGTCACAACATCAGGTTCTGTTTTCCCGATTCCTGCCAAACATCGACTCAACATGATTTTTAGAGCATAGAGACAATGCTTTGAAATGGTTTAAAAGAAAAATTATCTCTTATATTGGAGGACACAAGGGGGCACCATCTTTCTAGTTGGATTTTAGTTAGTTAGATTTTTGTTTTTTCCATCTCCCATGCATAGTTTAAAGCACATTTTTTGAGTTTTTGTACCAAGCTGTTAGTCTGAATCTTCAAATCCTAAAAACAAAAACCCCAAAGCCTAAGGCTTAAACTTCTCGCAACTGTTTTTCTTCTTCCTTTTCTCTGGAAATAAAAGTTCTGGTTAATCTTTATCTCTTTTATTTGCCACTACAGTCCTTCTTGAAACCCTGCTGTGCTCTGGCATAAATTATAGGATGGCTTTCTCTTTATTATTTCCTTCCTCAACTGTCCTCAAATAACTCCCCTCCCACCACCACCGCCACCACTTTCCCTCTTATTGACCTTTTTCTCCTTGTCTATTGTTCTCCTTGACACTGCAAAGAAACTGTTTTCCAGATAATTGTGTCTCTTTCCCTATCCAAACGCTGCTGATTCATGCAATTTTTGAGTGAATTTCACTTTAAAGTCCTGATGATCCTACCAGGAAACCTGCAGCTTTTCCTTGAGGATTTCATGAGTCATGATTCAAAAGCACAGAACACACTGCAGGAGTGTTTCAGAAAGTTAAAGCCAACATCTTGTTTCATATTTTCTCCTCCAAGAGCCAACTTTAAGGTAGAGTCCAAAACTGATAAACTGGACCTGCAGCAGACATGCTTTTATTGGCAGCGTGCAAGTTTTCTCAGGCTAACTGTTTCCAGATGGGTGTTTGAAGAGGGCACATGCATAATTCGCCGAGGGGGAGGAGAGATAGAGAGAAAAGGAGCAGAGGGGGTCTGTCAGAAGCATTGTGCTACACTGACGAGAACATTTCCTGTCTGGCTTTAGGAGGATTAGGTATTTGTGGGGGGTTGGGGGGGTGTAAGCATGGGCAGCATGTGGA